ACATTCTTCACTTCCTCCAAACGGTCGCCTGGCCTCCCGAGTGCTCCTACAGCCCCTGAGGTCACATGTCCCCTGAGGTCACATGTCCCCTGAGGTCACATGTCCCCTGTCAGGAGTTGAATTGTGTCCCCATTGAAGTCCCAACCACTGGCACCTGTGAATGTGACCTTATGGAGTTTTGCAGATGGAATGGAGTTAAGATGAGGTCGCTGGGGAAGACGACCATGAGAAGTGGGACTTGAATGGCCACAAACCAGGGAACCTCTGGGGCTGCCAGAAGCTAGAAGGGGCTTCAGAGGGAGAGGCCTGCTGACGTCTTGACTTCAGACACCTGGCCTCCAGAGAGGATACGTTTTTGTTACTTAAGCTGCCGGTTTTGTGGGCGTTTGTTAGAGCAGTCCTAGGAAGCCAATACACCCTGTGATGGTTATTTGTGTGTGTTAACTGAGCCATGGTGCCAGCTGTTTGGTTAAACACCAATACAGATGTTTTAGGTGCGATCAGCGTTTCAATCAGTAGCCTTTGAGTAAAGCAGATTACCCTCCATAATGTGGGTGAGCCTCGTTCAGTCAGTTGAAGGCCTTTGGGGAAAGGACGGGGCTCACCAAGGGAGACAGAATTCTGCCTCCATGCAGCCCCCAGACTCAAGCCGTAGCATCAGCTCTCCCCTGGGTCTCCAGCCTCAGCCTGCCCCGCAGATTTTGGACTTGCAAACCTCCTAATTGCTTGAACCGATTCCTTAAAATATATGCCCTTCCATGTATATATTCTCTGGGTTGTTTCTCCGGAGGACCTGACTAATCCAGTTCATCAGTCAGAAACCTTCCGTACTTCCTACTGGGTGGGCCTGGCAGTTCCCTCAGGCTTTCCTCCCTCACCCCTGTGAGCAGCATACCCACCCTAGCTGTGCTTCCTCCTACCAGCACCCCCGTGTTGCACCTTGTGGCTCATCCCTGCTGTTTGTCCCATCCACGGACGGGCTCTGCAGGAGGCCTTTCTGTGCCACGTACATTAGGCACAGGAGCGGCTGCTCTCTGGCTGGCATGTGGACGGTGCAGAGCACAGCAACAGCCTTCATCCCGCAACTACCAGGGCCTCTGGGGTGGGACCGAAGCTTAGGCTCGGGATCTCACACATGGGGGTGCCAAGACGCAGTGGGTGCCTCACTTCCAAGCGTCTCCCCTGGTTCAGGCCAGCCTGAGACTCCTGAAGCTTCCTGGCCTGATGGGCAGCCTAAGGGCATGTGAGTGTGCTCACAGGTGGGTGTGGCCACAAGGCTCACAGGGAAATGTAGCTCGGTCCAGAAAACCCCAGGGATCCAAGGAGCACAAGTCTGAAATTCTGCCCTGGGCAGGGATTCAGACTTACCCCCACACCAGGTGTGCCTCCTGGGCCTTCAGTTCTCCCCTCTCCGACCCTCCCTGTGGGCCTGACTCCTCAGGATGGCCCTGCCTTTCCCCAGGCCACAGTGTTCAGAGTGGCAGGACCCTCTCCCCACTGCCTGCCAGGGCCTGGGGATGGGATTTGAGCAGCCAGAAGAGCAGTCATTCCCCTTAACCATGTCCAAGGGCTCCAGAGACACATCTAGCCCTTTCCAGGCACTTGAGCCCTGTTTGGACCCCTGTCAGTGTCACGTGTCTACACAAACTGGCAGCTAGGAGTTAGAGTTTTTGAGTTGAACCCAGCGAGCTTTCCTCCTGTGACTAGCAGGGCAGGGGACCTTCCCGTCCCACTGCTCACCTGCCAGTGAGGCCTCTCCCAGCTCCGCTCCAGGCCCAGGCTGCACCGTCTAATTCCAAGCACTGGCTCTGCACACCCCTGTCAGCCCGGGCCTCCCCCCGGCAGGTAACCAGGAAGCTTTTCAGCCAAACACTCGGAAGAAAGCCCGTGAAGAGTTCACCATGTGGAAGCCAGTCCCCATAACTCACACCTTGTTTGTTCTCACCGATGCTAACTCTTACTGTGTTGTGCGAATTCTAATTGCTCTACGTATGTCATCTATCCAGAAAGAGAAAGTGGTGGTTTATTTTTTGCCAAAGTGCAGGGGGATTGTTAATGCTATGTTGAAAAGAGGGGACGGGTAACTCAGATATTGCAAGTGGAGTATACATGACTGGCCTTGGGATTACCGTCCTAGGGTGGAGGTGGGGGGATGGGAAATGAGTGTGGCAGCATTGGCATTGGGTGGACAAGGGGGCAAGAGGTCATGGCTTATGTTGCTCAGAAAACCCAGTTTTACCTGGATTGTATGCTTATTTGGGGGTTTGGGAGGACTGATTGTGATTATATTGGGGTCAGGGCCCTCCCTTCCGTAACACCCCCCACCCTCCACCCCCGCACCCTGCACCAATTCTGCTGGCTCTTGGTGGCAATACTGTTCCTTCCCTGTGGGGGCAGCAAAGGCAACGCTGCCTTCACTTGGCTCTCCGTGGAGCTGTCCAGGGTGCTGAAATGCAGCCCCTGGGGGATACGCAGACCCCCAGTGTCAAGATGCCCAAGGTGCTGGCCTTCCCTCGTTGAGAGCTGGGTGGTCTTTGCTTCAGCCTTTATGCAATCGGTGTGTGGAAGAGCAGGTCCTCCATGGGGAAGGAGCACGAGGCCTCTGCTAGGGGAGAGCCCGTGACATTTCCTTTGTTAGAATTCTGCCTTTATTCCAAAGGGCCAGTCTTTGCCCAGCAAGTTGCCATAAGTTGAAGGGTTTGGAGCATAGAGCGTGTGGCACATATAGTCTCCCAATAGGACCTGTTGTTGGGTTTTTCTTCACAACGGAGGCAATTGCAGCCAGGTTGGCTTGGTTAAACAAAAGTGGCCAAAGGTCAGGAGACTCACCCAGAGCTAGGCTCTGTCCAGCTAGAACATTTTCTCCAGCCTACGCCCAGGGCTCTGGCCCTCCCAGCCTCCGAGTGGACACACCTGTCCAGTCTGCGCAGATAAAATGGGACAGACTCCACAGCCCATCTCCCTTCGGACTGCGGGGACAGGGCAGGTGGGAGGTCACAGCCGTAGGGGCTGCAACCTCAATAAACACGTTGTCATCGAGCCCACCAGCCGGCAGGATGCCTTTTGTAAGTGGCTGCTCAGCCCCACTCTTGGCCGGGCCTGGCATGACTCATTTGCTCCAGAAAAGGAACATAAATAAGTGCCGTCGCACCTTGACAAGTTGACAGGGTTGACAAGCAGAGTAAATTCCTGTGTCTGAAACTGAGCAGGAGAGGTGGCTTAGCAGAGCCAGCTGCCATCACCAGAAGAAAATAATTAAGGAGACCGGCAGTGTGGCGGGAAGCCGAGTGTGAGGCTCTGGAGAAGGGCTCTGATCAGCGGCTGCAGGAGAAAGCAGCTGTGCCAGGAAAACTGAGCCGGAAGCTCACGCTGGGGGTAGCTGCCATGAGGGGGGCGAAGGGGGCAGCGAAAGGAAGCAGGACCTGGGCTGAGAAGGGGTCCCTGGCAAGGGGCTCAATTCTGAAGGCTCCCATCTCACAGTCAGGCACTCCCTGATCGTACCCCGTACCCCCAGGGGTGCAGCCACTTCTGCCTGGAGCTGCTCCCCAGCCTCGTGGAAGAGTCTGGAAGGCCTGTTTCAGAGCTCGCCCACCTCCACACACTTACGCACATAACCTTGGCAATGCTCAGGAAGGCGGACACTCTGCCCTTTGCCCAGGGAAGGGCACACCCCTGTTCTGAGCCCAAAGGGATCAAAGAGTAATACTGCAGCAGAAGAAGGAGGCAGCGTGCCCAGTTCCGCCTTTATTCCCACCTCTCTTGGGACTTGAGAAAGGTCCCAGCAGGCTCAAGGATGTCAGGCTTTCAGTCCAGGGATGCTGATAAGGAGACATGCGGGCACATCCTCAGCCTGACCGGTATGAGGCCATTGCCATTGCAGTGGCTGAACAACAACCTCAGAGAAGCGAGTGGAGTCTGGGGGTCAGGGACAAGGACCGGGACGTCCTCTCACTATCTGGGCTCCGGCCACTGGACCTCTGTGAAGCCCTCAGAGATGCAGGGGAAGCGCTGGGCCTCCAGAGTGCCCACTCCAGCAGCCACCAGACTCAGTTTACTTACGTGCGGGGAGGTGGTTCTGATTGTGACTGGCTCTGGCAAAGCCTCGGAGTGGGAAGGGGCTCTGAAGTCTCCCTGGCCAGCAGGGTTGGATGAAGGAAGCCTAAATAAGTTCCCCGAAGGAGTCCTCTTGTCCTGGACATTCCCCAGAACACACCAGACCTGCTACGAGGCAGAATCGTCTCCTCTGGCCAAAGGCTCACCTCCGCAGTGCTTGCTCTCCTGGGTGAGCCCAGCCTCAGCCCAGGCAAAGGGCCTCCCTGGTGAGCAGAGGGGACACCTGGAGTGTGGCCAGGGATACGCTGCTCTCTCTCCGTCTGCCCCAGTCACCAGGGAGTGCTTGCTGGACACTGTGCCTGGGCTCTGCTCGGCCCTTTGGAGGAGAGCAGATTGTGGTCAGCTCACCCCCAGAGCCCCAGGGCCAGCTGTGAGGCCAACATCGCAAAGTGGATGGCTCAGGGACCTTCTCAGAGGGACGAGGGGAGACCCCAGTCCAAGGAGAATGAGTGTGTTCCAGGCACGGGCCAGGTGTGTGCAAAGGTGTGGGTGCAGGTGTGTCGTATTCTGAGGACGGAACATCTGCATGGACTACACCCGGGCAGAGCCAGCAGGGCAGAACACGGACGGCCTTTCTGAGGGGCCCTTTACCCTCTGGTTTGGGGACAGGGTGAGGTGGAGAGTGGGCTGTGAGGTTTCTGGATTGCGCAGGGTGCTTTTCCAGACCTTCCAGGCCACATTAGGAGGTAAGACGCCAAGAAAGGAGCATCAGCTGGCAGCCAAGGGGACCAAGTCTTTCCTGCGCCCCCATTTTCCATGTGGATAGGGGGGAGGGGCCTCTTCTGCGTCCCCCCTGCACTGCCTTTTTATGGAGCCTACCCCAAGTGCCCATAAGCAGGTCCCTGGCTCTTCCACCGCTAATACTGTGCTCTCTGCTTGCTTTTCAGGAGTAAAGTTCAACATCAGGCTACAGCGGCCGCGCGACGTGAGTTCTGATAAATCTCAGCACGGGCTGCCTGGGGAAAGTTGGCGAGGGCCGGGAGAAAATTTGGAGCTCACATTAAACCCATTCTTGGAAAGAAAAATGTGTCCGGCCCCTCCCGGGAGGCCTGGGAACAAAGCCCGGGGCTCTGGGCCATGAATTTCCCTTTCCCATTGGAGGGCAGCTTTGGAGTGTGCTAATTGACTCAATAAATCTGAGCCGGCCTCCTCCAGACACCCGCTCCCCAGCCCCGCTGGGCCGGGTTCCTGGGAGGCCTGCGCCATCTGGTGGCCACAATGACACTTGCACCTCAGGCCATGGCCAGCTGAGGGGAGGACCACAGGGATGGTCACAGGGGCCACAGGGCTGGGCAGGAGCTGGACCAGAGAGGTCACATTCTGCAGGGTCAGCCGGCTCCCTCCCCCTCATCTGAGACACGCCCCTGTCACAGAGCGGGGCGGGGGGGGGGGGGGAGGACAGAGGGGGCTGGGCATGGCGAGGGCCAGCCTGAGTGATCTTCTGGGTCCAGCTGTCCTGTCCATCCTGGTAACCGTTTGTTTCTCTTCTTGCTGCAGGACTTCCCGCCAGGTGGTTCCCAGGATGGAGTTTTTAAGGCGCCCACCGAGAGGGTGGCCAGAGATGCGTCCAGCCGGGCGCCCAGAGGCCTCCGCCTGCTGGTGCCTGACCCCCCTCCAGGCCACCCCAACACGGGGGCCCGCCTGCGGCCCCGGCAGCGCCGCCGCCGGCTGCTCATCAAGAAAATGCCCTCCGCTGCGGCCACCCCTGTCCCTGCCAACAGCTCCACGGGCTCCGCCGCCCCGGACGGCCACTGGGCCCGCCTGCAGCAACGGCAGCGGGAGCGCAAGCGGGCGGTGGGCGAGGCGTGCGCCAAGTTCCGCGCCGCCGGCAGCCGCAGGCCCGTCACGCCGCGCCACGTGTCCCGCATCTTCGTGGAGGACCGCCACCGCGTGCTGTACTGCGAGGTGCCCAAGGCCGGCTGCTCCAACTGGAAGCGGGTGCTCATGGTGCTGGCCGGGCTGGCCGCGTCCCCCGCCGGCCTGCAGCACGACGCCGTGCACTACGGCGGTGCGCTCAAGCGGCTGGACGCCTTCGACCGCCCGGGCATCCTGCACCGCCTGCGCACCTACACCAAGATGCTCTTCGTCCGCGAGCCCTTCGAGCGGCTCGTCTCCGCCTTCCGCGACAAGTTCGAGCACCCCAACAGCTACTACCACCCGGTCTTCGGCAAGGCCATCCTGGCCCGCTACCGCGCCAACGCCTCCGGGGAGGCCCTGCGGACGGGCGCCGGCGTGCGCTTCCCCGAGTTCGTCCAGTACCTGCTGGACGTGCACCGGCCCGTGGGCATGGACATCCACTGGGACCACGTCAGCAGGCTCTGTAGCCCCTGCCTCATCGACTACGACTTCGTGGGCAAGTTCGAGAGCCTGGAGGACGATGCCAACTTCTTCCTGAGCCTCATCCACGCGCCGCGCAACCTGACCTTCCCGCGCTTCAAGGACCGGCACGCGCAGGAGGCGCGGACCACGGCCGGCATCACCCGCCGCTACTTCGCGCAGCTCTCGGCGCCGCAGCGGCAGCGCGCCTACGACTTCTACTACATGGACTACCTGATGTTCAACTACTCCAAGCCCTTCGCCGACCTGTACTGAGGGCTGGCGGCTGCCCAGGGGCGCCCTGTCCGAGGGGCACGGTTCCAGAGCCAGGACCCGGGACGTACCCAGAACACAACTGGGCTCCGAGGCCGTGAGGAGCTGTGGCCGCTGCAGGCCCCGGTGGGCCTCAGGCCTTGGGTGGGGACCCTGGCCCACGTCTCATAGCCACTCCCTTCCCTCTTGGCTGAGGGAGATGTGGAGGGAGGGGTGTGAGCGGGACACCCAGGAGTCCCAGCTGCCCATGCCCAGCTCAGCCCAGTGGCAGGATGGCCAGGAAGCCTGAGGCCCGAGGAGGAGGGCCCGGTGGTGAGGGGTCTCCCGCAGTCCCTCCGCCATTGCCTTGTACCAGACCACATGGTTTGCAGCTTTTCTATGACCCTGGAGGAGGTTCCGAATAAAGCACACGGTTTCCAGAGCAGCGGTGTCTACACTGTGTGCGCGGGGGTGGGAGCACTGGCCCCTTCCCGGGGCAGTCGCCCGCAGGCCCGGGGGCAGGGAAGTCCCGGGCCGGAGTGGCTGTGTGTGTGACAGGAGCCGCTCGCAGCAGCTTCCATCCGGGGCCAGCTCCTCACACTCGGGCCTCCGAGGCCAGCACTCGGGTAACCGGGTCCTCCTGTCTCAGTACCAGCACTCACGTCAGTAAAAAGATAGACCTGTCCCCACGGAGGCCTGTCTCTTCTTGTCGGGGCACTTTGTGGGGGCTCCCTGGGGACTGCCAGGGCAGTGACGAGCTCTTTGGGCAAGCTGCCATTTGGGGCTGCCCCTGGGCTTGCTGCAGGGCAGGTGGGTGCCAGTGGGTGTGGCACTGCTGGGCAGGGAGTAATGCCACCCCTGGCTTTCCGGGCCTCTGGGCTAAGCAGAGCTTTGGAGCAAAGTGGCCATGGACAGACCCTAGCCCTGGCCTTGACTCCTGGCTCCATTCACCTGACAAGACCACCTCACGGTTGTCAGGATCGTCTTCCCCTGGGTGAACCAGGCCTGGGGGAGGGGAGGAGAGCTACAGAGAAGACATGTCCAGAAGCACACACTTCACAGAGCTACAGAGAAGACATGTCCAGAAGCACACACCTTCACACACAGGAAAGGTTCTGAACTGGTCCAGAGCCAGGGTGAGTCCAGGAAGGTCTTGGAGAAAGTGTTTGCTGGAGCTTTGAGCTGGGTGTGCCTGTGGCTGCTTAGAGTCTTGTTTGGAATGGGAAGGGCTGCCTGGCTATTTCTAGGGTCTGTCTGTCTGTCTGCCTGCCTTTGGGTCTCATTTCTCTGTCTCTCAGGAGTATGCTGTTCGCCCTTCTTGGGCCCTCCTCCCCTCTTCCCCCCCCCCCCCCCCCGCCCCCTGATTTCTGTGGATCTCCCAGGAGTCTGCTCCCAATCTGTTCCCACTGGCCAGGGGAGATGCTGCTGGACCCTTAGGAGACCCTGAGGTCCCCGCGGTGGGACACCCTGCTGGGTCCCACCCAGGGTTTGCAAAGCTCACGTTGGCGTAAGCTGCTCCATCTCCCCTTCTGCCTCCAACACGGGCGCTGGAAGCTTATGAAGGGGAACAAGGAGGTGAGGCTGCCACGTGCCTGTTCAGGCCACATGCGTCCCAGAACCCTGAGCAGCTGAGGCTGCCCCTCAGGTTCCCCTGGGGTGGCCTGGGGCCCTGGGCCATCGGACAGAGGAGCCAGGGCGCCAGGGAGCAGGCTGTGGTCAGGGCTGGGGGGTGGGAGGCAGGAAGGTAGGCGCCGAGAGCCAGAGGCTGACCCAGCAGCACGTGGCCAGGCCAGAGCAGAGTGAGAGGAGGCGGCAGGGCTAACGCTGGCCCGGCTGTGTGCCCACAGAGTCAGACAGAATTCACGATGCAGAAACTCTGCTCACGGGTGCATTGGCCAGGCCTGAGGCAGTGTCACTGCCATCAGCTCACCTGGAAGCCAGGGGCTGTCTGCAGCTTAGAGACAACCAGGACTGCCTGAGACCATCCTCCCCCAGTGTGAGCATGTGTGAGTGTGTGAGAGTGTGTGTGTGAGAGTGTGTGTGTGTGTGTGTGTGTGAGAGTGTGGGTGTGTGTGAGTGTGTGAGAGTGTGTGTGAGTGTATGTGTGTGTGTGAGTGTATGTGTGTGTGTGAGTGTATGTGTGTATGTGAGTGTGTGTGAGTGTGTGTGTGTGTGTGAGTGTGTGTGTGTGAGTGTGTGTGTGAGTGTGTGTGAGTGTGTGTGAGTGTGTGAGTGTGTGTGTGAGAGTGTGTGTGTGAGTGTGTGTGAGTGTGTGTGTGTGTGTGAGAGTGTGTGTGTGTGTGAGTGTGTGTGAGTGTGAGTGTGAGTGTGTGAGTGTGTGAGTGTGAGTGTATGAGTGTATGTGTGTGATTGTGTGTGTGAGTGTGTGTGCTTGTGTGTGTGTGAGTGTAAGTGTGTGTGTGTGAGTATATGTGTGTGTGTGAGTGTGAGTGTGAGTGTAAGTGTGTGTGAGAGTGTGAGTGTGTGTGTGAGTGTGTGTGTGTGTGTGTGTGAGTGTGTGTGTGTATGTGTGTGAGTGTGAGTGTGTGAGTGTGTGTGTGAGTGTGAGTGTAAGTGTGTGTGAGAGTGTGAGTGTGTGTGTGAGTGTGTGTGTGTGTGTGAGTGTGTGTGTGTGTGTTGGGGGTAGGAAAAGACATCTTTACTTGTGCCATCTCTCAGAGACAACCAGACCCGAGTGGGCAGATATGCACACACAACACATCCATCAAAGAGGGGGTTTTCCTTCTGGGTGATAACAGGGGACACAGTCCTGGCTCCCAGCATGACTGCCAGAGGCCCGGTCCTGAGACCTCCCCCTGAATCCACTGAGGTGGTTTTGGACCCACTCCAGCCTCCAACCCCAGCCTCAAGCCTTGTATAGCCCTAGGGCTGGGGACAGTGGAATTAATTGCCAATACAGGAGTGTGTGTGTGTGTGTGTGTGTGTGTGTGTGTTTTGTGGGTATCTGGGCTGGGAGAGTGGATGGGTGAGTGTGTGAGTCTATGTATATGTCTGTGTGTCTGTGTGTCTGTGTCTCCATGTATGTGTCTCTGTGTGTGCATTTGTATGTCTGTGTGGGTGTGTCTGTGAGGGTTTGTGTGTGTGTGTAAGTGTCTGGGTGTGGGTTGAGCATGTGAGTCTCTATGTGTATATGTGAGGGAGGGTCAGGGTTTGGTGTGGTGTCTGTCCTATGGGTATCTGCCCAGGGTGAGGAGTGTGCATGTGTGTGAGCCTGTGTAATGTGTCAGGGTTGGGGGGACTTGGACAGTCCTCCCCCTCCTCTCTGGGACCATTTGTGCTGCCCACCCCTGCCCTATTTCATCCGCTGCCCACTTTGTGGGTATAGTCTGGAGGGAGGGAGTCTGGGTCAGGGTCCTCCCAGAGGTCAAGTGGCCGACCAGGTGGGGAAAATAACCACCGAACCCCCAGTGCCCGGCCCCTGCCTCTCTGGGGCAGCCCAAGTGGAGTCCCTGCCGGGCCTTTGCCCAGAGCAGCTCAGACTCCTCAGAATGAGCCCTGCTCTCTGGTGACGAAGGGGACAGACTGGGGTCCTCCTGGCGCCTGCGCTCCAGGCGACCTGAGGTCCTCTGAGGGGATGAGATTTGAGGTCTGTCAGGGAGGCAGGTGTGGCATCAGGCGCCTTGGGCCTCCAAGACACAGCCAAGCCCTCCTACTCCCCACTGTGCGGAGGGCCCAGGACAGAGGTAGGTGGGCAGTGGGTGGAAGGACAGTCCTTCAGCACCCCGTCCCCTTCCAGGTGCCAATTTCAACCTTGGAGCTGTGCCCCCTGGCTGGGGGGTGGGGCACTGGAGCCTCAGGAGAGGCCTGGGGCTGGCAGGCGGGCTCCCCTCACTCCTCCCCCCCGATCCTTAGCTTCTCATCTCTGGGGCACCTGTGGCTCATGGAGGACTTTCCTGCTGGTGTCCCCTCCCCACGGCACCCAGTGCGCAGGCACAGGGAGCTTCGTCTGACCCGTGGGCACAGGATGCACCGGGAAGGTTCCCAGGCGCTGGGGGCAGGCAGTCTGGGCTGAGCAGGGCTGAAATGATCTGTCCTCGTGTTGGAGACCCTGTGTGGATGGCTACAATGACCTGGATGAGGAATAAACCCTTAGGGAGCTGTGGGCTTGACCTGGTGGGGGGAGAGGAGGGAGGGATTGGCCATGGCTGCCCCTCAGAGAAGTGGGCTCCACAGTCCCCTCGCCCCTGCTGGAGGGGAGAGGGGGGGAGTGAGAGCCCTGCGCGCTGGTCCCTCTGGGTGGCCTGGCCTGGCGATGAGGCCTGCATTGCTCCCGGACTCTTCCCCCTGCCCTTTGCACAACAGTCTGGGCTGTGAGCAGATGGTGGCCAGGGGTCTGGTGGGGATGGGCCACCAAGGAGCAGATGCTTCTGCCCCTCCCCCACTGCTGAGGTTAAGCTGAGGGCTGCTCCCCAGAACACTTGAAGCCTAGGACAAGGGTCAGAGGTCAGAGGTTAGGAGTCAGAAGTGAGTCATTTCAAACCGAGGAGCCTAGGGTGTACCAGCCTAAACCAAGCGCTCAGACAGTGGGTGCTGTGTTGGCCTCGCCCTGCACTACCTGGTAGACCTCTCCCTGCAGCTGTGATTGGGCCTGCCGTGCCCCACTCCACAGGGGGGCGACAGAGGCACAGAGAGGCTTGTCCAGAGATGCACGGGGTAGCACCTGGAGCTGGGATCCACCCAGCAGTCGGGCTGTGACACCCCCCTCCCCCCGCTCTCCCCGCCCTGGCCTCACCCCTGGCATCTTGGCGATCCAAGGGAGGGCGGGGCGGAAGCAGGCCTCCGCCGGCAGAGACACCGCTGGCCGCCAGGGGGTGCTAAGACCTCGCTCCTGAGCAGCGGCCTGGGTATCCCCAGTCAGCCCACGAGGTGGCAGCAACATCCCGACTGTGGATGGCAAGGAGGAGACACTGTGACTGGAGACCCTCTCTCCCTCCCTCCCAGCCATTGAGTCACCGGGCACAGTACCTCTCCAGCTGTCTCCAAGCAGAATCCAGAAGTCATTCCAGAACCAGCCCCAGAAAACCCACCTGCCCTCACCCAGCAGTCCTCACCCTCACCCTCACCTGGGCCCAGTGGGAGCCAGAACGTCCCAGGAAGGTTAGCAGGGAGGACACAGTGTCCCCAGGAGTGTGTGGGGAGCTGCCATCACCGTGCTGGCTTCACCGCCCTCTTCAGCAAGCTAGACTGGGGTGCATGCTGACCCGCCTTTCCACCTTGCACACTGCTCCTTGGTCTCACTCCCAGGTAAACCCCTAGGTGGCAGGGCCCCCCCCTCCACCCCACCCCCCCCCGACACACACACACAGGCTGCAGAAGGCACCGGCTCCCTGGGCTCTCAGCCCAGCCATGCTCGCAAACCTCACAGGCCACCAGCAGCCTCCACTCCCCATGAGGGTGACCTAGGCCTTCTGTGACCTCAAC